TCATCGAAGCGGTGGGAGCTGGACGCCGTCTCCAGTTCCAGCACCAGCTCCTTACAGGCTCTACTACAGCACTGCAGAGCGTTTCTTGGGTAAAAGGTGCTCCTAAACCCCCTTAAGCTAACACCCAGTTTCTTTGCAGATCGTCTGGTGGAAGCGGGCAGCGTTGGTGACGGATCCAGCGGCATCAAGGTCCCAGAGCCGGTGGAAACCTGCGGCTTCTGCTTCCCTGGACACGGCTCTGCTGTACAAGAGACCAAATCATGCCACAGCAGCTCCTACCACCCAGGGGAAAGAGCTGCGCCATCTCACACGGGGATATGCACCACGGGGAGCGCCGGGGCCATTCCCAGCCCCGACGATGGCCACTTCAAAATCATATGTTCTCCTTCACAAGAGAAGACGCCCATGGCGTGAGCACAGCGATCCTGCACAGGATCAGAAAAGGAGGGACCCTCCCTCTGCCCCCCAAAACACAGCTGCTTCACCCTCCGTTTCCAGCGGCTGTAACCGCTTCCCCCGGGACCAGCAGACCTGGCACAGCCTCTCCCCAGGGGCTGTAGGCTACAGTCGGCGCTGGAGGTTACACCCAGCGCTGATTTTCTTCCACTCGGGAAGTGAGATTCTCGTTATTCCGTGCACTCCCAGCGATAGAAGTCGTTTCCCATCTAGCGGCATCTTCCCCCTCTGCCTTGACCTCTGCAGACTCCTCCGTGTGTCCCAGCTGCCAGGAGCGGGGTCTCTTCGGGGTTTTCCATCCTGGTTCCACCGCCAGCGCCGCTTTGTCTCTGCAAAGGGTGTTGATGCAGAGCCAGGATCAGGCTGCGACGTCCGCCGGTCCCACGGAGCGCACGCCTTTCCCTGCCTGACAGCTCTCCTGTGGAACGCGAGCGGCTGACAGGCAGAGCTGAGAGCACCTCCAAACCGGACTCAGAGCCAAGAAGTTAAGACCAGCGAAGGACCCCGCCACGCTCTCGGGAGCGGCACGATTTCTGATTGACGTTTCTTTACAGGACACGATACTCCGTAGGACACAAGACAGAAAGCTCTGCTGCCAGCTTTCCACGTTGCTTGGGAAGGGAGGACAGGTCATGGGTGATGCTGAGGCTTTGCCCTGTGACAGGACACGATGCTCCCTGGGAGGAGCCAGGACAGGCACCAAATCCCCGATGGAATTGGGTTTAAATGTGAAAATTCATCCAAGTCCGCAAAGCTGGGTTTACGTACGTCTGGTCTGTAAACAGCAGGCACAAGAGATGAACCAGGCTGAGACTGAGCTGCTCTGGGGGGAGATTTTTACCTGGCCTGGCTTTGGAAGCTGCCCTGGAAGAATGGGGGTTTCACCACCTAACTTCAAGTTCTCATTTTCACTAAAAGAGAGCGTAGAAAGTTTTCGCGTGGCGAGAAATCACTGCTGGTAGGAGCTCGTGCCCTCCACTTCCTCAAACCAGAGCTTTGCACTCGAAAGAACAAATGTCTTTGAACAAAAGAACAAATGAGCAGACTGTCCCCTCCCTGTTATTTTTTAAATGCCAATGTTTTCCTGTCACTACAGAAGGCCCCATGGGGGGAGTGACCACGACAAAGCCAGTGCCACGAGCCATGTCCGGTCACAAAGCCTTGGGAGCACACGAAGTGGGAGAGGGGGTTTGAGGACCAAGAGCCCACACGCTGGTCCGGCAGCCGGCACGCGGGGCGTCTTGAATCGCTTCCGGAACCACGCCGACAACTCCCGGTGTCGTTATCCTCACGTACTGCGTCCCTTCCCTCGGTTTAGTGAAGTCCTTATGTCCCAGTAGCACGAGGGATGGGTTTTGTATCGTGTTGCATTCGCACTCGGGCAGAAAACAAGCCTTTCCACAGCTGAGATACGGTTTTATGACTGGACCTCCTCCCACTCTCCCTCCGCTGAACCTCCCACCCTCTCTTGGCATCCAATCTATGAGCCTCCCTACCTCAAGACCCTCTCGGCCTCCCCTCTCACCCAGCCATCTACCTCTGGGACCTCCAACTCCACAGCATCACCTTCCACAGCCTTAGCTCCTTTCCCTCCTCTGGAACTTTCTCCTATGGCCTCTGGTCCCATGGTATCAGTTCTTGTGGTCTCAGGTCCTGTGGCCTCCTGCCCCGTGGCCTCAGTTCCGCAGTCTCTGACACCACGACCCCAGTAGCCTCCCGATTCCTCTAAACCTTCACAAGGCTTTTGGCCCCAGGAGCCACCTTGGCCTCTCATCCTGCTCAGCCTCAACTCTCTTCAGCCTGTACCTGTGCTTACACCAATCTCTACATCAGCTTCCCTGAGTCTCTCCGTCTGCGTTCCAGCTCAAGCCTTACTCCTTCTTGTCCTCCTCCCTGAGTCTCCACTTGCATTCCCGCTCAGCCTCCGCTCCTGCTCAGCATCACACTCCTCTTCTGCCTCCCTCAGCCTTTTGCCCCAGCCCTGTTCTCGCTCAGGCTCCTGCTCACACTTGCCCTTCCCAAAGCCTCTCCTCACCCCTCACTGCTGCCCAGTGTCCCACTCCCTCTGCGGCCTCCTGCAGCATTATGGCCTCTGCTCCCGCCTAGCCTTCCTCCCAGGCTGGGCCTCCACAGCCCCAACCCTGCTGCCTCTCCTTGCTTTCCTCTCCCCAGAGCCTCCCCGCTCAGCCTCTGCAGGGTGAAGGGGTTTTGAATGACCCCAGGGCAGCACCAGCATGACCCCCCCACCCCCAGGTACCAGGGCAGGGGAAGCCCCCAACCCCACATCCCCCTCCACCCAAGGTGACATCCAAGTATCAGCTCCAGGTACAGGTGTTCGTCACCTGTGGGGCAGAACCAGTGCTGGGGCTGTTCCCTCCCGTTACCACGTGGCCCCAAAACTGGGAAAAGTGCTCATCAGAAGCCAAGTCCTTCCCTCCAGCCATGATACAGAAGGGGGGAACATTCCTCGCACTCCCCTCCTGCAGGGAACAGAACTGCCCTTACCGGCATATAAAAGGTAACATGGAAGGAATCAGCAGAGGAAAAATAAGACACAGGCTCCCAGGCACAACCCTCGGATGCTGCAGAGCCAAGAGGCATCAGGATTTGGTATCGCTTTTGCAGCTGCTCGCCAACAGCCCTGACAGAGCACCCCCAGAGGGACAGTGGGGGACACTGCAAGTGGGGGACACGGTGAGAGGAGGCCGGGACAAGTTAATCTCTGTGGAATTCAGGGCACTGATTTTGAGCAAGAACATATGCCCCGGGGGTTAATCCTCACATTTCTGCTTTGCTCAGGTTTTCCTTATGCACCAGCATCAAGCAGCGCTTTCTCTCCAGAGACAAGAAAATACTACACCTAAAACCCCTTTTCTGGCTATTTTTGAGTCCTGTGTAGAGTGCCGTGTAGCTCACTGCTGGTGGGTAAGAACACACACTCCATCGTGAGCCTGCATCACCACACCGGCCTTTGTTTTCAGTCAGTCCTGCAGCTGCTCCCCCAGACCGAGCTGCGTGAAACCGCACCTCCAACCAACCACCCCAAAACGCTCCCGGAAAGGGTGAGCAGCCGAGGCAGCGCGGTCGCGGCACACGGAGGGCGCAGCCTTTCTCTGCTGTCCGCCAGCACCTTGGGGAACCGTAACTCCATCGGCCATTCCGTGAGCTGTTCCGTGGTCGGCGTTTTCCTGAGGGTGATGTCAAGGGAGCTCTGCACGGAGAAACCTCCCGGTTCCGCAGGGTGTAAACCCGGTGTCCGAGCTGCTCCGGAAGGGTGAGAGGAGGCTGCGCTGGAGAAAGAGCATCGTGAGGGGTGTGTGACAGCGGCTGTTCTTCCCTTCTTAGAGGAAGGGGGAAAACGCTCTCGCCTCCTCTAGCAGCCTGCGCTGATTTACTGCGGCTGGAAACAGAAACACGCCTGGTACGATTCAGGGAGAGACGCAGGGGGTGGGGAAAAGGGGCAAGAAAAGAATAAGAGGTTTTAATACACCAGGAATTCTGCTTTTGAACTGGGAAACAGAGTGCCGAAACCCACCTCGCTCTCCCACCGACAGCCATCTGCGGGGGTGCGGTTGCACAGAGCACAGCCCGATCCACCAGCCGTGGAAGGCGGGGGGGGAGGAGATAAATTACGGCTGATTTATACGGCTGGGCTCATCCCTAAACAATTTGTTCCCAAGGGATTAACACAACAGACCGCGTTAGCCCCGGCGGCCAAGCGCGGGTTGGTGGAAACCAGAGCTCGTCCGTCGAGGCTCCAGCGTGAAAACGCAGCAGGAAAAGGCTCGGGAGCACAAAGCGGGGGCGTCCCGGCAGCACAGGGGGCCGCGGCCGCGCGGTGGCACTCCTCCTCCAGCACAGGGCAATCCAACCGCAGCAGCCCCGGGAATAACGACAGGCTGATTCTTGTCTTCCTCTGCCAGCTCGCTGCATTATTAAAAGGTAGCGGAAAGCGTCGTCAAGCGTCTGCACGATACCCACGGCGGGGTGGGAGGGGTCCCCTTCCCGCGGGCGCGCCGTTCATCCGCAGCTCTCCAGCCACGTTTCACGCGTGACCAGAACGCTCAGGTTCAACCTCGCGGCGCCCAGTGACAAGGGAGGATTATTTCAAGCGTGACGACGGGGAAAGGCAGGTTGCAAAACCAGAGTACGCTCTCGCTTCGGCGGAAACCAGCTGCCCCGGTAGCTCCCACGCGGCACCGTACGATTTCTGTGCCTGATTTGGTATTCAAGGTGCTTCAGTTCGTTGTCCCCTCTTCCTTCCCCGTGGCAAGCTGTCGCAGAAATCCCTCGGTGTTGAGAACTGCCTTGTATTCTCACCAAACACAACTCCACCGTCCCTTTGTTCAGCTGCGCTTGGAAGATGCTCGTTTAACGAGCAAACAAACCTCGCTTCCCTTCTTTTCTTCCTATTTCTTCCGTCACTCAGTCGCGTTCCGCCTCTCTCGCGGGCAGGGGAGACACCTGCAGCTCCATTCTGGAGCACAGGAGCTAAAAGGTGAGCCCCATCCATGCTTATATAACCGAAGCGGTGAAGGTGAAGAATGAAGATCTGGATACACACGTGGTGCTTAATTTTGGTGCGGCTCTTGCACCAATTTACACCGCACCTCACGCACAGCCCCGCTGCCTGCGGGTTCCGTAGGGAAGGGAGAACAAAGCTATTTTTGCTCCTTTAAGCTCTCTGTTCTGAACGGTTTCTCTCCCAGGCTGTAATTCAATCCCCAGCCCAGTCTCCCGAGAGCAAGACAGAGCACACGAGCTCTTACTGCTGGCATCTCGACACGCCAACGAGCTGCTGTACAGACGGAGGGGGAGCAAAACCGCGTTTGTGAGAGAGCGGGAGCAAGCTGCGGCACCAAACGCTGCGAGCTAACGACACCCATACGGAGATTCTGCTAGGAGGAAAAGAGTACGTGAGGAGTTAATACATGTGGGAGGATACAAGGAACCAGTAC